TCCTAATTAATATGTAAATTTAAAATGTTGATAACAACTATTGCAGGTAACGTCTTTATGACAATTATTGGAGGTGAGATCTACTAGTTGGACAGATTGGTGTGTGGTCTCTAATTCGTCGGCCGGCAAGTTTGACTGAGGTTGATAGGTTTGAAAAAATTCGAAATTTTTTCAAACTCGTTTTGAAGGATTTTGAAAAGTGTAAATTAGAATTTTGTAATTTTATATAAATAAAAAATATATATATTTATTCAATAAATAATATTTATTCAATGAATTTATTATTAAATAAAATGAAGGGTATTTCGTCGAAAAGTAACAAATTAGTTTCCATTCCATCAACATTCTAATATAAGCTAAAGGTAATGATGTTCTTTCATCCATAATACTTTCATTCTATTGATTTCCCTTCATATATTTTATTCATTGATTCCTAATTCATAAATCAAATATGGCCTAAGGTGCATTATACTTTGTTGAATTATACGGTGTTTATATTAGAATGAAATTATGAAAAAAAATTTGTGAAAATTTTTGTAATATTTGGTTAGAAAAATGTAAAAAACAAAAAAAAAAAAAAAGTATTCTAAATTTATTTACCAAAAAAAAAAAGGCTTTAATATAGAAAATCACATGAAATCAAAGTTATACAATAAAATAAAATATTTTTGAAATTTAAAAATACTTTTTGGTTATGAGTTTTGATTTTAATATCAATAAGTTTAATAGATATAAAAATTATAAAATGAGTAAGTTATAATTAATAGATAATAAAAATATAAAAGGAATTTAATAATATGATTCAAATTTGGAAGATGAGAAGGTTAGAACATTAATGATGAGACATGAAGATTTGGTAAACTTAATACATTGAGGTAACAAGTGGTCCATCCAAATTTGTCTTCGGCCGTGCACTTGTAACTTATATATATATAAATAGGTATTTATTAATCGGTTTCAGCATGCTATTCTTAAGAGGCATGTAATTGATTAGATCAATAATTAATATTTATTACATCTCATTTAACTTACTAATTAAATGCAACAAAAATTTCCCAATCCATGATAAAAATACTTTTTTTTCGATATTATAAATATGCACAATAGGCTTCCAAATCACATGCCGCTTCAAATGAACCAATTGTTGCTCAACATTTCATACGTTGCTCAACTACGAGGATTTTTTTAAATCATCACTCGGTTGTATAATCTCAAAGGTTGTAATGGTGAAAGTTATAACGATCTTATCGAATTTACGGCAATTTTTTAGTAAAACGTAGAAAGATAATAAATAAAAAATAATAATGTTAATGTATCATACATCAGCAAATCTCACACTGAAATATTGTTGTGATAAAGAAAAATGAGGCAGTTGGTGTGTGCTGCCAGTTTTACCTTCCTAGTATAGTAAACGTTTTCTCACCAAATAATGATTTAGTGACACTTTTTCCACCAGACTTTTAAAATATCATTTTGTTATCCAAATTTATATTCGTTTTGATCTTATCATTGGTACAATCTTACACCATCACTATCTTTTTTGGATCATCATCATCATAACTCTCAAATTTACTCTTGCCAACCTGCAAATCAACAGCAAACGAGCGATTAGAGTTTGTGCAGCCACCTTGCAAGTCAAATTTCAATCAATCCAGTCATTAAAATCCAACCTACCATCAAAAAACTTACGACATTTCCTCTTCACAAGATCCAACAACTTGAACTGAATTTACTCTCTATGTCACAAAATATAAATATAAATAGTAAAATGATATTTTAAAGTATACAATTAGAAACGTGTGATTAAACATTATTTGGTGGGAAAAAGTCGTACTCTCCCTATATCAAGATGATGCCATGAATATAAATAATGAATTGGTGGACCTAATCAGTTAATTGTATTTGTATCAATGGAATGGATATGGACCGGACCCAACCCAATTTAAAATGTTGGTAGGAAAAAATGACCCCTATTTATATTTATATTTGGTATAATGTAATGTACTTCATCCTGGATTAAATAATTAATTGGCATGTATTTCCCAATAACTTCCTTATTTTATTAAAAAAATTATAAATGCAATTATTAATTAAGTAAAAACCAGAAAAATAAAAATGGAAAAATACTAAAAGAAAGAAGTCAGTGTAGAGCGAGCTAGTCAGGCCGGTTCAAGCGATCCACCCTATTCTCACGCAAAGGTCTTCTGTCTTTGGTCTGCCCACCCACAAGACTCAGAACCAAAAGACTTTTCCCTTACATCATCAACAAACGACTTCTCTTTTCGTCCTCCTCTAAACAATATTCACAACAACATTAACTACCACTCTTCTTTTCCCGTTCATTAAATTTTTTCATTATTTTCTCACATTTTTGCCTTTTTCTTTCGGGGTTGTCAGCCCGATTGGATTTCATTGGGTTTTCAATATTTTGAGGGCTGGTTTTCTGGTTCAGGACAATGCAGAGAGATACACTACAATTATGAGGTTCTTTGGCCTTCTCGGAATTGAATGTTTTGCACATTATTGATGGACATTGTTATTCTTGTTTGATTGTTTCAAATCTTTGGCTTATGGGGATAATGTATGATTCATTTTAGGAAATCTTTCTTAATGTTCTATCAATTCATGTTTTTTTAGTTGTTCATTGTTGATCTTTTGGACTATTATGGCAGTGGCTGAGAGGAATGCTCTTCTTCCGTTGTGATATTTCTCGAAACTGTTTGTTTAGTTTGTTCCTAATATCAACCATTTTTTCTCATTGTCTTGGTTCTATGTATTGCGTTCCACTGGCACCCATCTTGTTGAGGCTGGTTCATTAACCAATTCCAAGCCCTTACTGTAATAGACAATAGCAGAAATAATTTACAGGAAGAAAAGATTTTTAAAGAAATATGACGCGAAATGCAGTAAAGATAATGAATTGTTGCTTAAGGTTTATATGTATGATTTGAACCCGGAGTTTCATTTCGGACTCTTGAAATGGAAACCAGAAGGGGGTAGTGTTTGGCCTGACATTAGAGTCAAAATACCCTCATATCCTGGTGGGTTGAACTTGCAACATAGTATAGAATATGGCTTACTTGGATCTTCTAGCTTCAGAGGTTTATGATAAGGGGAGCTTGTAGTGTGATAAGAGTTCGCAACTCGAGTGAAGCTGATGTAATTTTTGTGCCATTCTTTTCTTCATGAGCTACAAAGGTTTTCAAAAAGGCATCCAAATGAAAAGAAGAGCCAGAACAAGGTGTTGCAAGAGAAGTTGGTGAAGTTTTTGACTAGTCAAGAGGAATGGAAGAGAAGTGGTGGAAAAGATCATATAGTCGTGGCTCACCATCCTAATAGCCTGTTAGATGCTAGGTTGAAGCTGTGGCCTGCAATGTTCATTCTTGCAGATTTTGGGAGGTATCCTCCAATATAGCAAATGTTGAAAAAGATGTGATTGCGTACAAAAATGTGATCAAATCGCATTTCAATGATGCATCAGAGTTTGAAGCCGTCCAATTTGCTGTATTTCCAAGGAGCCATATACAGAAAAGATGTAAGTTTCCTCCTTTTTTTTTTTTTTTTTTTTTTTTTTTCCTATTTGATTGATTTGTTCATTGCTTGTGTATGATGGATTTCAAGGGAGGAAATGTTATTTAGATTTTCACCCAAATTCTTTTTCAGGCATTTTTTGAATTAGAAGTAAATTATGAGATAATTCTTATAGCTAATTTGGTGTTTGCATTCTGTACTGTGTACTTGTCTATGCTGATTATTATACTTGTCGAGAGCAGAGCTAAGAAACCTCTCAGAGAAATTACAATTAAAAATGGAAAGTTAATGTTAGAGAAACTATTAGATATTGATATAGCTTACCATAAATTCCTTAATACATAACTTTCTTGATTAATTCTAGGTTATTTCTAATGTTGGAACAATAATCGGATAATTAACAGGGTTTGAGCGATCCAAAAACAATTTAGCTTCTGTGAAGAAAATGCTAAATTAGTTGACTATGATCTATGACTTTATTTGTGTGTACTTGGTAATTATCACTCCTTTTGTATTTAATTTGTTTACCCATGACCTTGAAAGCAAAAATCAAATATAGAGTGAATGTTTGCCAAGTATTATGCTTGCCTTTCGGGCTTTCCCTATGTGCATCTGATTTAGAATCATTGAATCAAATAATTAGTTGATTATTTCTTCTTGTAAATGTACAATGGTTTTAAGGAAACTGTATATGTATCTTAGCCCCATCAAACTATGCAATTTGTTTTGCAAACGAGTTAGCCTTTTTTCACATACATTTTTTTCTTGTGTGACAAAAAGATAATCTCATATTTCTTCTCAAATAGCCCATACTCATTGAATTCTTTTTGACAGAGAAGTAAAATGTATCATGGTTCCAGCCAAGGAAACAGTTTATTTTTCCTTTCAAAATACTGTTGAGAATGGATCTGATGAGAATTAAACGGCCTTTATTTTTAATCAAACACTTTCCATGTTGACAAGTTTAGCATGGATCTGATGAGATTAAACTGCATTAGCCAATCTCAAAGTTCTTTTGGTTTTGTTACCAGCTTCACTGAATGGCATGTTCCTTATTTCGTGCATCTTCCGAATGTTTGTATGTATCTACTAGCTCCTCATACATGTATACAAATATATATTTATGTAGACGTAATATCATATTGGTGGCTCTGAGGAAATGGGTTCATGTATTCCACAATAGCATTTTTTGAGCAAGTATCACCTAATAATTTGGTGTCAAAATAATCATGTAAGGGTTTGATGTCATCGAGAATTGTTGACATACTCTTTCTTCTCACATAGATCTCCTTTATTTCCCCTTCTCTGTTTTGTTATAGTTTTTGAAAATCCGAATTGCCATTTATTGTTCAGGGGACCAAGAGTTCTCTATATTTGCCTTAGGTTTCCTTTTCTTTTATATTATCTACGTAACTTTAGTTTTGTATACTTTTGTCTTACATGTTTATTTATTTGCTCCTCTTTCTCAGGGTGGCTTTGTGAGGCAAGAGTTATTTTATCTTTTAAAAGATGAAAAAGATGTACATTTCACGTTTGGAAGTGTTCAAAAGAATGGAGTCACAGAAGCTTCCCGGGGAATGCACTCTTCCAAATTCTGCCTCAACATAGCTGGTGACACCCCTTCATCAAATCGCCTCTTTGACGCCATTGCTAGCCATTGTGTACCTGTAATCATTAGTGATGAAATCGAGCTCCCTTATGAAGATATTCTTGACTACTCAGAGTTCTGTATATTTGTTCGCACATCAGATGCTGTCAAAGAAAAATTTCTCATAAACCTTATAAGGAGCATAAAAAAGGAAGAATGGACGCGTATGCGAGATAGATTAAAAGAGATTGAACAATTTGTTGAGTTTCAATACCCATCCAAGAAAGGTGATGCTGTCCAAATGATATGGCAGGCAGTGGCTCGAAAGATCCCTTCCATTAGAAGGAACATACACAAGTCTAGGCGATTCTCTCAAACTGTTACTGATAAAGAGAAAGGATTAAGATCGATATCATTGCCACGCAATTTTTGGTGAAAGGGGAAGTTTTGATTCATTTGGGCATGGCAGTTTTTATACATTTTGATTGGAAGCACAGCAATTAGTTTTTGGAGGTGCATGAAGGTGAGAAATGCTGCAGAATTTTTTAGATTAAAACTGCAATGCCCTTGTACAAAAGGTTTTTTCATTTGTTCAGCTTCCATAAATGGCTAGAAACATCGTTTTCTGGGCAAACCTCTTGAAGCAGGGAGTATGACTAGAGATAATTAGAGATCATATTTGTTTACTCAGTTATTATTTTTAGTAATTATATGCATCTCAAATTTATCTTTTATATTCTAAGTGATATTGACACTAATATATTATTATCATGTCACATCTTATTTTATCATTTCATTGTTCATATAAATCTGAAAACTGGGATAAATAAATATTTTATTTATTATATATATTTATTTATTTATTTATTTTTACATATATATTATTTATGATGACTTAACTTTGTCAGCAAGACTATAGTTCACAGTTTAATCAATATTTTACATGTAAATTCAAGGGAATATGTTAAACTGTAAATGGGGGATTTTTTTACTCTGAAATTAGTTTTTAGAAATTATTATATAGTTTGGATTTTTTTTTTTTTTTTTTAAATTATAATCTTGATGCTGTCGTAAAGAAAATAGTAAACATAAAAAGATATTAAAATTACATAAGGATAAAGGATATTGTACTAAGATTTTTAACTTAAAAACCTTACTACCAAATAGGTCAATCTTTTAATTCAATGATTGAGTAAGAAGAAAAAAAGAAAACAAGAAAGAAAGAGTTAAAAGTAATTAGGTAGAAAATTTATATTTATTTATAATAATTTTATTTTATTCAGGGGCGAAGCCAGAAAATTTATTTTGGGAGGCAAAAGTTGTGTTGAAAGAATGAAGGGATCAGTGAGGAATTTGGTAGATACATTATGGGGGCTAGAGTGAATTTCAAAAAATTGGGTGGCCAGGGTNTAGAAAATTTATAATTATTTATAATTATTTTATTTTATATAGGGGCGAAGCCAGAAAATTTATTTTGGGAGGCAAAAGTTATGTTGAAAGAATGAAGGGATCAGTGAGGAATTAGGTAGATACATTATGGGGGCTAGAGTGAATTTCAAAAAATTGGGTGGCCAGAGTAAAAACTTAATATAAAGGGATGAAAATGATACTTTTTTTTTTTTATCTAAAACTAAAAAAAAAAAAAATTATGAGACTTGGTGGGGCTAAGGGTGCATATGAGCCAAGTCAAGCCGAGTAGTGGCTGGCTCGTGCTCGGCTCGAATGTATTAGGAGCAGGCTCGAGCTTGACGAGCTCTGGCGCACGAGCTCGAGCTTGGCTCGTTTAAAAAATAAACAGCTCGAGCTCGGCTCGACTATTTATAAGGATTTAACAAAACGACGTCGTTTTGAACCCCTCTTCTCCTTCTTCTTCTTCTTCTTCTTCTTCCACCGCCCCTCCCACTAACTTCTCAGTCGAATCTGCTGAGACCAAAATCCAACTCCTCATCTCCACCCAGTCATAATCTTTAGTCGATCTATGTCATGAGGAAACTACTCACCACCATCGGAGTCCACCCCACCATCATCGAACTCGTCAGATCTCAGCTTTACCTCCGACCTCCTCTCCTGTGGCACCTGCGTCAGTGGCCTTGACTGACGAGCTGAAACCTTACCGATCGATCTCACAAGCTCTCCTACTCGAATGACGTCTCGAGTGATTAGAACAGCTCGCGAACAGTTCGAATCGAGCCCAAAAAGCTCGACATTTTTCACGAGCTTGAAGTTGAGCTTGAACAAGTGAAATACTCGTTCTCCGAGGAGTCGAGCCTGAGCTCGTCATGAGTGGAATCCGAGTAGCTCACGAGCTACTCGGTTCAACTGCACCCCTAGGTGTGGCCATGGCCACCTGAAGCTTGCATGTAGCTCCGACCCTAATTTATTTTAATAAATTTGCAACTATTCTTGATGTGTTTTCGTATTATTTTGAAAGCATTTTTTTGTTTAATAAATTTTGTACGACCTACTATGCTTTGATTGCTTTCTATCATCTAATAGTCACTATTTCTTTCTTTTAACTACAACTAACACCTTTTCTTTTTAATTCAAATACAACTCATCTTCAATAGCTAGAAAACTAATTCTAACTTTATCAGCACAAGTGTAACTCTAACTTTATCAACTTAGAACTGGAAGGAATTGAGAAAGAGAGGAAAAGAGGAGTAGTTCAAGACAATGATACTGCCAGAGTATTCCGAAGAGAGAAAAGAAGAGAGAAGAATTTATGTATATATTGTATTGTAAGCCTATACAATGGCTAATTTATACAAGTTCTGTAAATGTAGAATAGGAAAGAAATAAATACAAATCTCTGTAATTCAATCAATCACATAAATTAAGGTGATTGATTGAAGCCTTAATCACTCCTTAATCTTAGCCAGCAGAGATCAAGGGAAATCAATAATAATAATGTTGCATTCCATATTTCGTCACTCCCCATCAAGCTTGTGGTTTGTAAATATAAAAAACTCCAAGCTTGCTAAGTAGATATGAATATTGTCTGCTACATAATGGCTTTGTGAAGATGTTTGTTGGTTGTTCTAAAGTACGAATGTGTAAAGTCTTAATTATCCCTTCTTGAATTTTGCTCCTGACAAAGTGGCAATCAATTTCTATATGTTTCGTTATTTCATGGAATACTTGATTTGTTGCTATGTCGTTTGTAGCCTTGTTGTCACAGTATAAAAGAACAGGTTTTCTTACTTTTACTTATAGATCTTCCAATAACCCACAATCCAGATGATCTCACACGTCATCTATATTTGGCTTCTACTGAAGAAAGAGATATTGTTGATCATTTCTTTGTTTTCCAAGAAATAAGAGCTCCTTCTAGCTTGATGCGGAAACCTGTAAGTGATTTTCTTCTCGTTGGACATGTAGCCTAGTCTGAGTCACAGTGAGTTGTGATATCCAAACCTTTGTCTAGAGGAAGGAGAAGTCCTAAACCAGGACACCCTTTTAAGTATTTCAGAACCTTTAACGTTGCATCCATGTGAGATCGTTTAGGTCCATGCATGAACTGACTAAGAATGTGGTATGCATAAGTGATGTCTGGATGAGTCATGGTGAGGTAGATCAATTGGCCAACAAGTCTTTGATAGTTTGAGGGGTTGTCTAGAGGTGGATCATCTTCAGAGGATGATATCTTACTATCATATTCCTGAGTAGTCAATTTGGTGTTTTGTTCTACTAGAATAATACTTAGCTTGCATCCTGATAGCAAATAATTAGAAATGAGTTCCAGAACATATTTCTGTTGGCTGAGAGATATTCCTGTCGAGGATCTTGCAATGTCAATACCTAGGAAATATTTTGGCTATCCCAAATCCTTTATTTGGAACTATCTGTTGAGATGCTCTTTCAAGGATTTGATGTTTGCTTCATCATTTCCTATAATAAGAATATTATTGACGTAGATGATTAGAGCAATGAAAGTTTTACCTTTGTGCCAGGTAAATAATGCATAGTCATGTTTGGACTGAACAAATCCTATGCCAGTGAGAGCTTTGTTGAATTTCTCATTCCATTGCCTAGATGCTTGTTTTAGGCCATAGAGGGATTTTCCTAGATGACATACTGTGTTCTCCCCTCGTCTGCGAATTCCAAGTGGAAGATCCATATAAATTTCCTCATGAAGATCATCATGAAGAAATATATTATGAACATCTATTTGATGGAGAGGCCAATCATGAACATAAGTTACTATAAGGAAAGCACGAATAGTGACATGTTTGGCTACAGGTGAGAAAGTCTCCTAATAATCAAATCCCTTACGCTAAGTAAATCGCTTGGCTACCAATCGAGCTTTGTAACATTCAATGGAGCCATCAGCACGATGCTTGATTTTGTAGACCCATTTACAGCCAATGGATTTTCTATAAGAGGGACGAGGCACTAGATCCTAGGTATGATTCTAAGTCAAAGCAATAAGTTCATCTGTCATTGCTTGATGCCAGTGAGAGTGTTGAATGACATCTAAGTAACTAGTGGTTCTCGGTCGACAGAGATGTGACTGATACAAGCTCTGTGTACAGGAGAGATACGATCATAACTTACATAATTAGAGGTAGGATATAGTGTACCTAAATAATCTGTAATGGTGGGGCACTCCTAGTTTGTTGTCTAGATTGGTGGTCAAGTCTGCCAAGTGCTGCTGCGTGTAGGAACAATTGGAATTGGATTATGGGATCCTGTTAGGAAAACATCAATAAGGATCTGAATAGGTGATTTTGCTGGAGGATCATCAATGGCTACTGTGTCAGAATCAAAGGTAGGAGGGTCGGGTTGAGAAACCGAAGGAGCATGTATCATAGTGAAAAGAGGATTCGATAGAGTATCAACTTCAGGAACCAGCCTAGGTGATGTAGATGAAATAGTATCTTTGGTGGCAAATGGAAATACGTCTTCATAAAACACAACATCTTTGGAGACCTGTTTTTAACTGGAACATATAGCCTACAACCCTTCTGAAGTATAGGGTATCCCATAAAAATACAGTGGGTGGCCTGGGTGTTGAACTTGTCATCTGAGCCAAGAATGGTAGCGTAACAAAGACAGCCAGATACTCGAGGTGGTCAAGAGTTGGTTGTTTCTTGAATAATATCTCATAAGGAGTCTTGCCTTGAAGAACTCTGTTTGGCATGCGGTTGATTAGGTACGTGGTTGTGATCACACATTCACCCCAAAAGGAGATGGGTACATGGGCTTGGTGTTTGAGGGCATGGGCTATTTCAAGCAGATGACGGTGTTTTCTTTTGACAACCCCATTCTGTTGTGGAGTATATGTGTAAGAGTTTTCATGTAGTACGCCAAGTTATAAAACAAGAGATGAAGAATTATGATTGAAAAAATCTCTAGCATTGTTGGTTCTAACCCTCTGGACGGAAGTATGAAATTGGGTGGTGAATATGGATAAAAAAATTTTAATGTGGGTAAGTGTTTGGGTTTTGGATTGCATAAGGAATGTCCATGTACCCCGAAAAAATCATCAACAATAGTGAGGAAAAATCTAGATCCATCATGATTTGGGGTGTGATATGGGCCCCAAATATCAAGATGGATCAGGACAAATGGTTGGTTCATAGTGGAAGTGCTATGTGGAAAAGTAATTCGGGTTCGTTTAGCTAATGGACATATAAGACACTGAGGTTGAGGGATAGTTGCATTGTGACCTAATCTTTGATGAAGAGTAAAAGAATTTTCATTAATCATT